GTATCCCATGATCTCATTTAGAATCACTGCACATTTTCAAGTCTGTCTTTGTCTGTTAGCAACTTTAAGCAAATTTGCTCATGGAAAAAAAGTGTAAATGCAGTGACATATTCCACTAACAACTACATCTATTCTTCTCATTGATACTCTTGGCTAATAATGGTTAATAGGTGAATTGGAAGTAATAATAGGTGAATTTGAAGCTCTGGTGTTTTAAAAAAGCTAGGCTAGAAAAGTATTAACTATACAGTTTAACACAAATGCATTTATTTAGTAGATTTGTATGTCTGTCCATTTCTGTATACGACTCTGGTGGCTGACAATATTAAAAACAATGAAAAGCATATAGAAATAATATAAAATTCACAGCAGCTAGGGGAGAGGGTGGAAAATAAATCCACAATCAAACATTCAGCACAACCAAGAAATAGACTCCATCCCCACATCCATTTTGTCCAACTTCAAGCAAACAGCCATGTCTTCAGAGTCTTCTGGAGGGGCCAATATGAAGGTGGCGAATCTAATCTCTGGAAGGATAATATTCCAAAGGGCAGGTGCCACAACAAGAAAGACTGCTTCTTTGATGATGAGTGATGGGCAGCATAAAAGTTTAATAAATAAATAAAATAGAAATAGAATTCTCCTCCTTAAGTCCCATCAATCAGCAGGATCTAAAAAATGTCCCTTCTGTCAGGCAGATGGGATGGGTAGAAACAACTGGGAAGACACAGCCTCATAAATAATCAAGCCCCAAGCTATGAAGAGCTCTAAAGGTGATTACCAGCATGTTGAATTGTGTACTACCATAGTAGGTGATGCAACTCGCAAAGCAGTGGTGTCACATGTAGAAAAAGAGGTACAGGTAACACTCATCTTGTGCAGCAGCTGAAACTTCAAGGTCATCCCTTGAAGTTTACAGTGCATTGCAGTAGTCCAATCTGGAAGTCACTACTCATCTGAAATGGACACTTCTTGCTCTCTGGAATAGGGGGCATGGGTTTTAAAAGCTTCTGATTTGCTTCTCTCTTTCTAAAAGATCTTTTGTATTGCAGGTATGAAGTTTGCACTGTTTGCACACAGATTAATTTCTTTGTTGTTTATAATCTAGTTGTACCATATTCTTGGAACTGAACTACTTGTTCTTTATGGTAATCAGTCTAGTTCTGCAAATCAGCATTTTCCAGAAACTCAGTGTTGGCTTCAGTAAGGTTTGCATAGCATCTTTGTTGTTTTGGTTCTTGTTATATAGCTCACTTGACCTTTGAGTTTCCTTCACAGGCTTCTACTGCCTGAGGCCTTCAATACATAGCATTTCTCTCTAAAATGTTTTTGTAAACATTTCCTTAGCTCTGTAAACACAATGTAGAAAGCCAAATGCTAAATTCATGAAATTGTAATTAAATGTGGAAGATCATAATATCAATACCATGCAGAATATTTAGGGCTTAATCAGTCATCATTGTCCCACTGAAATAAATGGGCCTTAAAATTGTTCAGATTTGATTGAACCTCTAAGAGGGAAGTTGTTTTTAATTTGTATATACACACACATGCACACACACACACACACACACACACACATGTGTATATACACGCACACAACATTTTAAAATACTAACATGAAATCTTTAATCAAAAAAATTGTTTACAAAATGAGCCACAAAAATAGAACAATAAAAAATCTGCCCTTTAAAAAACTAAGCTATTACCAAAATATTTATATAAAGACATTTTGACTCTAAAAGTTAATATTGGCAACAAAATGACTAACTATAGAAATTATTCCATTAACTGAGCATTGTAATCAGGAAAACTTTCCCTAACTGATGTGTTTCTCTCCTAATATTGCAAAGGCATTCAGAGATTGATATCAAAGGAAAATTGCTTAAAGAATTGTTAATTTGATAGAAGAGAATATTTATATCAGGATTGAAATGCAGGGTCCTTGGTGCTTTCTAAGCTTGGTTGTTTTCTTGCAGACATTTCATTATCCAAACTAGATAACATCATTGCAAAATCAAAATTGGTTGAACATATTTAAGCTGAAAAGTAAAAAAAAAAAAAAAAGAATGTAGAGCTCTAGAACTAATTGTGAGTCTGTTTTAAGCATTCGTTCTTAATTTCTGAAGCCTTATTTTATCTAATATATACTTTGACAATTCTGGTGTGTAGTTGGAGTGGAATAAAAGGGTAATAAAATGGAAGAGTTCTTATATATGTAAATATAGGGATTCCCCACAGATTCATATTCATGTGTAGCGTACAGTACAATGCAGTGTATCTTATAAAAACAGTGATCTTACACCTTGAGGATGCACTTTGAAGAAATTTACAATAGTTAGCTAAGTAGACACCTAAATAGTAACATAATTTGCATCTTACAGTCTCGAAATTTTAAACTCACCAAAAAATTAATAGAGTATTGGTCAGCAACATAAAATATTTTATAATAGATGCTTCTAAGATACTTTTCAAAAGTTGAAAGGCATATAAATGGAAGTTTCAACACAATCTTTTTATTATTTGTATTTGTAAGCTAAATTTTAAAAGCAAATGTATAATTACATTTTATATCTTCCTATGTCTGAAATCCATGTTCAAAGGTAGGATGGAACTCTGAGTCATATTTCCTGATTTCAAAAGCTACAGCTACAAGCATATTAAGCTAAATCCACAGTTTTCTTTTATCTCTGTTCTGTATCATACATATTTTACTCTGGAAACATTTTCATGAAACTTTATGTAATTGTTGAGACACTATATAATCCTCTGCCTGCCATGTTTTATTTTTTATTTAAATGAAAACAAACTAGTCTAGGATTCAGTAAAAGTAATTCTGGAGGGAAATGCTGTGTAGAGGGAAATATTTATCTTGAAATATGCAGTAGATATGGCTGATATTAATTCCCTAATGTATGGTGGAGTGTAGCATCCCTTACTACTTGCATTATTTGTTTACAGATAAAAATTGATTATTTATTAATTTGCTTAATAATACATGTGTGCTTATATGCTTATGTGTATACAGTATTTTACGTCTTCCCTATTTTACACATATAAAAATCCCAATCTTCAGTTTTATATCAAAACGCTACTGCAAAAGTTGATCTCTTTTCTTCCTGATAAAGTGGCCGGAACATTTCTTGGAAATGTTCTTATTGTCACAAATCTTGTATTTATTCTATATAGTTTATCTATTTCTATCTCATATCATCCCGTCCTCCCAAAGTGCTAATGTTTTCTCTAATATCTTCACTACAATCCTCTGAAATTGCTCTAAATCTCAAAACAAAATTCTTTTGCTCTTAATTCAAATAGAGCCAGATTATCTAGTGCTTTTTCCAACTCTCTGTCTATACATTTGTTTACTTTTCATTAATTTTACATTTCCAGGCTTGTTTTATGGAGCTTTCCATCTTCTTATCATCTTTCATCTTTACAAGTCTTTTACCCATTATTATTTTTAAAAAGATGTCAATTTAATATCAGTGATATAGCTAACTTACTTCCCAGGATCTCAACAGGTTCTGGTATAATTCCTCTCTTCGCAGGTTAGTCTAGCAATCCTACTACTATTTTTGCTGCTTTTCTTGTGGTTGTCATAATCCAAAAATGAAAGTGTATTAAACAATAGAAAGAGAAAAGGGAAATTTTATTTAATTTTTAATTTTTTTTATTTGTCGAACAAAAATTACAAATTCAAGCAAAGAAAATAAGAAAATCAAAATGTGACAGGGCAGTAGGCACACTAGTGCACTTACATACATCCCTTTAGGGACCTCTTAAATATGGAGTGAGGTACACAGACGTTAAATTAGAATTAAAACTGTAAAAGTTAACAGGTGAGACAACTGAATCAAGTTATTCCAGACTTTGACAAGATCAATTTTTAAATAATCGTGTTTAGAGCGAGTTACATTAAGATTAAAGGGGTTGTTTGTTTCCATTACATTACAATTAATGCTAAAAAAGTCATTTACAGGTATAGCATTACTACATACAATTTTGTTTGCAACACCTAAGTCTGACTGCAAGAGTCACAGTTCTAAACTATCCAAACCAAGAATTTCAAGCCTAGTAGCATAATTTCAAGCCATCTATGCATATTCTATTATGCACAGAAGAATGCAAGACTTTTTGTGTAAATTACTTCTGAACTCATTTGATTGTATTCATGTCCGGTGTATGGAAAGGATTCAAGACAGCAGAACAGTATTCTAGGATTGGCATAATGTATGTTTTGTAAGCTCAATGAGCAATATAATATTTCCAGAGGGGAAAAACCTTCATAGAATTAAATTCACGACTTTCGGTGCTTTTTTTCTTTTTTCTTTTTTAGCAATGATGTTACAATGAACTTTACCACATAAATCGTCGGAAATGAGTACACCCAGGTCCTTAACAAAATAAGGGTCATTACTTTTTCTACTTTGTCTTCCTGTGCCCTTAATATTTTTGTCTCAAATGGCATTCCATGGCATTACAGTCTGGTTCATGTTACCTTGATTAAATCTCTATCTGTAAATTAGTGATAACCGGAAATGTTTAAGAAATGAGGCTTGCTTCAACCTTTTGTCCATATAGGTTGCATTATGACAGTGAGCTTGATTGAAATCCCTCAACTTCAACTGGTCAATTGATGAGCCAACTACAAAAAAAACCTCAGTTTCTGCTATCCTGGTTACAAGTGGGCAATCTCACAATCTCTGCTTTTTCCAGAGAAGCTGTATTGGCCAGAATTCACTGTATGACTGCTGATCTCTACCACAGTGCCATCCCTGCTCCTTTGGGGTTATCTACTTCACTGTGAATTCTCACTGGAGGTTTACTTATAAGGTTCACTATAATTCGTCAAAAGTTTGAGAAAGCATTTTCCTATTTTTGATATGGCAGCTTTTCTGTTCTAACTGATGCAAACTTTGTGTGTGTGTTTGTGTGTGTCTGTGTGTGTAGAAATTAAGTATTTGTTCTTGTTGATTGGTGGTATTGTTATTTTAAAGATCATCTGTGACATGGAAGGCCAGATCCACACTCTGAAGGAAGAGCTGATTCAGGTGAATACTCAAAGAAAACAACAATTGGTAGAACTTAGTCTTCTTCGGGAAGAAGAAAAGCAAAGAGCTGCTCGAGATCATGAGGCTGCCATGAACAAAAAGAAAGCTGAGTCAGAAAAAATGATTCTGGACCTGAAAAAGACTAATGCTGTAGAAAAGGAGATGGTGCTGGAAAAGGTAAGAATAAAAATATCTGATTAAGATATTGCAATTCGGGCATATTATAATTTAATGTGGAACTAACTCAGTGTTGAAGTAAGTCTGGGAAGTGTGAACAATGCACATAAACCAACCCTGTATAGGTGTTAGAAAGGGTTCTTTGTTGAAGTCTCGGGCAAAGCATGCTTTCAAATGAAAACTATAATACAAAGAGCTACTCTGCTTCAGAATAACAGAGTAGCCATGTCACTTCACTTCTCTGGATAACTGGGACATCTGCGCATGTGTCGTTGTCACTGAAGGAAAGTACTTGTTTGAGATGGCCCAATTTTGATTGGCATTGAGGCAGAGAGAGGCGATTCAGTAAGGCATTTCATTGCATCTCCTCAAACAGAAGCATCTGATCCAAGAATATATCAACTCCAAAATGTGGCAGCATGGGTGTTAATGCCACAGAATGCCTGTGTGATACCACTACTGTATGAGCTGCACTAGTTGCCAGTTGGCTTCTGGATATATAGAGCATGATTATTTAAACATGGCACAGAGACTGGTTATTTGTGGGACCTTGTATCACTAGTTGTTTCTACCTCTCTGATAAGATCTGGTAGTTCATATCCCCGCAAATAATGTCATCGGTTGGAACTTTGTAGGCGTGTCTTCCTTGTTGTTGCATCTGCTCTCTGGAGCAATCTTCCCCAGCAATCCATATGGTTCCCATCCAGATGATGATTCGAAAGATACAGAAAACTTGGCTGTTCTCTTGGGCCTCAAGGACAACATGGTTGGTGATTTTATTCTACTCTGTAGGCTGCTTTCTGTATGTATATCATCTGTGTCTCTGTTTTATTGTTCTGGCTTTTTCTTATGTAAAGTACCCAGAATCAGTTGGAGTCAGGAATTCTTTAAATCTATATAAACAAACAAATAAATAATGAGAATTCTCAAAGCAGTCACTTGGGCTCAAAGCAGTAACTCAGGTCTATTCCAAAATTCAAAGAGCATAGTTTATTGGAAATTGAGATATACCCAGGTGGATATCTAACCTCTTGTCCCAGAACTGAATGCAAACCGTCTCCTCCAGAGTCTGGAATACAGAACCAAATACCTTTCTGAAGGTTGCCATGGGGATGTAATTTGTAATGTGACAGAAGGGACACTTATCAAACACATGAAGACATTTTTATGGAGTGCAGTTTCCCAGCATGCAATTGAAAAACTAAGATTAAAAACTTGGGCCAAGTAAGTTTATAACTATGGGTATATAGTTAGGGCCTGGGATTTCCCACCATCTGAACTGGAATCAAATTTATTTAGGCTGCTTGTTAAAGGATTTGTAAGTAATGCATTTATCAATTATTCCTGTTTTTTTCCTTCATATTGCCTGTTATGTTATAGCCATAAAACTTTGTTTTTTCCTTCTTAGCTTATTATCAAGGTGTAATTAGTTATTGAGTGTAGCCAGATCTGCTAAAATTATTTCAGTGTAATAAAGAGGGAAGTTTAAGATAGTTTATAAGAATTTGTGGTACTGAGTTGTGGATGCACTCTGCAGGTTTTCTCATTAAATTTAAAAGTTAATTCTGACTTTGCCTTTCCAAGTTACTTAAAGTTCTTCTATACACTCCTGCACTGGAGTACAAGTTAAGAGTGGTTAAAAAAATATTCCTCTTTTGCAAAAGAGTAAACTGAAAGTTAGATTATTTTTTCTCTTTGGATTTCTTGATTAGTGGATGATCAGAAACTGTAGGCTTATAGATGATTGGTGCAGTGACAGAAAGAATGCACCACCTCTGCTCCGCTCTGACCCCATCGTTTTTAGTCCGTTTTTAATCTTTTACAATTTTATTCTGCTTTTATGTTTATCGTTTGTTTTTATATATCTATTTTTACTATATTTTAAACTGCTAGAGTCATTTTGGGTAATGAGAGAAGAGTGATATACATTTAATAGACACATTCAATCAATAAATAAGCACAAGGACTGAGCCACAATGTATATTATTATTAATAGGGTACCAGAGACCCTATCAATTCAGTGCAGTCCTATTTAGCCTGATTTTTATTCCACCTCTGCCCAGCATTTTCTTTTGCCATAATTGTAGTAAATTGAACTTGCATGTCTTGGTTCAAATGAAAAATCAGAGAGTGTGGACCAGAATCAAGTATTATGAAGTTGTGTTGTCAACTTGAATATTCAAGTTCAGTCATGACATACCTAAGAAGGGAAATATTTTCTTGTCTATGTCTTATTTACTATCTTTGTTTTTCTTTGTTTGATATAATTACATTAACACTCTTTAAACCAGGAACTTGAATATTTGTCCTATTAATGTACCAACATCCATACCGTATTAAATGATATTACTAGCTTTCTGAAATAGTACAGCATATAAATGGAGCAAAACATTTCTGATAAAATAAAGCTTCATTTTACTTTACATTTAGGGCTTTGGTTTGGCTTGTTTTGCCATTGCTTTGGCAAAATTTCTTTTTGATGATGCTTAAATACTTGATGTTAGACTACAAAGGAACTTCTCAAAATACTTATCTACATTAGTTGACATCCAGGTGTTTAAATGCTTTAGCATATATTAAAGTACCATCTATAATTTATTGCAAGATGAAATACGGCAACCAAATGGAACAATTAGCATATAGAATTGGAACAGCATTTGGGAAACTGACATTTCATTTGCGGGTATCATATTCTTTGCCTCTAATTTTAAACAGCTTATGTTGGAAATCTGCCAGCTTGAAACTATTACATAACTATGATCAACAGTTCAGAATCTTTTCTGAATTTAAAGAAATCCGCACTTAGCATAATTATTTAAAGCCAAGGTCAGGGAAAGTATTTAAATCTTTGAAATTCTTAATTAAAGGATTAATATTAACTCGTGACGACACTGTCATTTTTGCTTAAAAGCTGAATTTGAATCACATTCCCCCTTTTTCCCCTTAGATCTTTTTATATTTGAAACGCATTAATGGAAAAAGTTAAGTTTTCCAAATTAAAGTTATGCTATTTATTATGGTATATTTTCTTTTTAAAAGTAACTGAACTTTTGTTAAAGGAAGCAAAACTATAATAAAACTAATGCCAACTGAAAACTTTAAATGTTTGCCTATATCTCCAGAAACGGAATCAGATTTTCCAGGAACTTTATATGGCAAGTGGACCAGTTGTAGTCTACAGCAGTACATGTAACTTGAAAAAAACATAACATGAAATCCTTATGAAACTTACTGGATATAGAAAATATTTTCCATCTTAAGAAGTTTGGTAGATGATTAATGGGCTCTTAGGCTAAAGTCTGCTTTATTTGAGGTATGTAATGTTTGAAATGTCAGAAGCTGCTGCTTAGCTTTCCTGTCTTCAGAAGGCTAGAGAAGATTATTTTATGATGCTGTGATATTACCAGAAGACACATGAGTGATTTCTTTCTTTTTTCTATTTTCTTGACTTGTGTTTTTATTTTTTATTTTTTTATTTTAAACACACAAATACAAAGACATAGACTATATTTATACAACACGCCGGAACTTCATGTTCCTTCTTATAGCAGTTTTAGATCGGTATGTATTTTTATATACAATATTTTCCCTCCTAGTATTTTACCATTGAGTTTCACAATTTTAACACTCTTATTTCATTATCATTTACTTATCTACCTATATTTTGGCTAATTACCTCAAACAAACGTTATCCCTCTTTTAAGTATATAACATTTATCCTTTATTTGTAATTTTAACTGGGATGGTGGGATTTAAGAATAGGTAAAGGTAAAGGTTCCCCTCGCACATATGTGCTAGTTGTTCCTGACTCTACGGGGCGGTGCTTATCTCCACTTCAAAGCCGAAGGGCCAACGCTGTCTGAAGATGTCTCCATGGTCATGTGGCTGGCATGACTAAATGCCGAAGGTGCACGGAACACAGTTATCTTCCCTATTTTTCTACTTGCATTTTTACATGCTTTCGAACTGCTAGATTGGCAGAAGCTGAGACAAGTAACGGGAGCTCACTCTGTTACGCGGCGCTAGGGATTCTAACTGCCGACCTTTCTGATCAACAAGCCCAGTTTCTTAGCCCCTGAGCCACCGTGTCCCTTGGATTTAAGAATAAGAAATGGAAAAAGGAAGCCTCCCAGATACAAACCACTTCTATTTCTCTGTTTAAAACTATCTGAAAAAAAAAATTAACCAAAATCATGAACATTAGTGATGCAGTCTTCTTGGTGCGGTAATGGTTATGGATTCCATGGAGTGCATGGACTATCTAATCATTAATGTTTATGTTGATTTTATGGAATGGGATTGTGGGTTTTCAGGGCAAAAATGCAGGGCTACAAAAGAGGCAATGGTGCACGTTATCATAAAAATTCTAGTGCTTTACACAAGCAATCTATGTCAGTAGCATTATTTTGCGGGGGGGGGGAGGATTTCTCAAGAGAGAACGGGGCAGTCAGTTTCAGAAGTTACTTGAAGCAACTTCTAGAGTGAGGCCAGCAGCCTTTTCATGATGCCAGCAATGTTTGACTTGTTTTCTTTAAAGGTGGCAGGAAGCCTGAAGGTGACACTACAAGATAAGACTCATTGTCTGGTGAGGTAAATTGTGGTGTATGATTTAAAAAAAAAAAAAACTTAAAATAGCATTTGTTAAAAACAGATTTTAACTTTAAGAAAAAAGAAAATGCAAAATAAATTGATTTTCAGATTTTGATTATATGAGTTTAGGGGTTTAGGATACTACAAGGATGAAGTTTAGGGCTGTGTTCAATTCATTTGACTTGGTGTTTAATTTAAAACGGATGAGATGAAATTTGAACATGGAGAACTTTAACATCTGTCCTTTGTTATTGTCTCAATTATATAAGGTAGACTGAATGAGAAAACAAATATCGTTTGCCTCCAAAAATTACTGTTACTAGAACAGATATTATAACAGAATCTTGCAAATATGAATGTGCTTCTCCTTTATCTGTGTGAATTAGGAAGGGGCCTGAGGTTTTTTAGAA